ACCCAGTCTGACATGAACCAGTTCTGCAAGCTCACTTATTCATTCCAAAGCAAACAGCTGCACTGGGTCTGGAGCAGAGAATAACAAGCACCCTCCCGGACCCTGATGGAGCACAAAGTCAGGAAGCGTGAAGCTCCAGGATGAGTGTACTGAGTGCTGGGATAAAGGTAAACCCTCTATGCAGCAGGGGCAGGAAGGCAACAGAGGCTACAACTCACACCTGCAAATGGATACGAGCTTGCTGGATGAAGGAGTCAGGATCACAGAACAGAGCCTGATGTGTGCCAGGCATTGTTAGACATGCTTTACACACACACTAATGTGTTTCGTTCTCTAAGGAAGGTTTTATATTATTGCCACTTTACAGAAAGAAAGCGGGCGGCCATGGACGAGTGCACGGACGAGGGCGGGCGGCCGCAGCGCTGCATGCCAGAGTTCGTCAACGCCGCCTTCAACGTGACCGTGGTAGCTACCAACACGTGTGGGACTCCGCCTGAGGAGTACTGTGTGCAGACCGGGGTCACCGGGGTGACCAAGTCCTGTCACCTGTGCGACGCCGGGCAGCCCCACCTGCAGCACGGGGCAGCCTTCCTGACCGACTACAACAACCAGGCCGACACCACCTGGTGGCAAAGCCAGACCATGCTGTCCGGGGTGCAGTACCCCAACTCCATCAACCTCACGCTGCACCTGGGTAAGCGGTGACAGCCCTGTCCCCACTACTGCTCGCCAACAGCCCAGCTCGCGGGCTGTCTCCACCCCTGTTCCAGCTTGAGGGGCTCAGGCAGCCGCGTGCTGGCTCTCTGCTTCCCGGAGTGGGCCGCGCAGAAATTCCTTTCTCCAACTTCTAAAGTTGATCGAGCTCTTGACATCCGGTGAGGGCCAAGACGCTCCACGCCAAATTGATCTCTGCTCTCCTGAGTCTTCTGATTTAACCGGATTCTTGCTTGGGAGACCATTCGCCATTTCAGTTGTTAGGATGTTGGTCTTTTTTTCTGAAGCGTTAATCAGAAACACCCATCCTTGCTTTTCTCTTTCCTAGCAGGACCATCTCAACGCATGCTCTCATAAAGACAGGAAGGTCCACCTTAAACACTTGTGCTTTGAAAATGTTTAGATGTTTCTGTGTCTCCCGGATTGAAAGTGATTGCTGTTTATTCTGTTGTGTTACGGGATTCGAGGGTTGCAGTTGCCTTTTACTGCCTAAATTGCTTATGTGTAATTAAACTAGAGATCCACTTTTAAAGTTACTATTCTTTAGAGCTGTTCAGCCTTAAGAGCCACAAAGCTATTTCACCGCTAATCTTGGTACAGAGAAAACAAAAGGAAGTGCCTGTACTCACTGTAATTGCTGAGCACAGTTTTGTCCCTGTGTAAAAAAGCCCTCACTGTCTTTCCTTTTGCTTTGATTCAAACCAAGCGTAGAGACTCACAGAAGTGACCTTTTAGAAATCAGGAAAGGGATACACAGAAAACTTGTATAGTAGGCTGTGGATGAGAAAGGACATTTATTTGAAATAATTAAAAATACGGTTTGATCTAGCCAAGGTTTTATTCATCATTGAGACATATAACAAGAAGAACATTTCATTCTTTAACAGAGTAGCATATGTGTGCGGAACTGAGATTTGATTTGTAGGACTTCAGTCCCCATTGCACTGGGAGACTTGATTTTACCAGTAGCTGGCACTAATGAACTTCTGAGAGAGCAGACTTGACTGCCCCAAGCCATTCTGTCAGAGCAGGGTAATTCTATAGAGCTAATAACATTATTTGGGGTTGTTTGAAAGGGACATTTTGTAGGCAAATGGTTCTTTTGATCATGATTTGTATTTTTTCCCACTGCTTTCTAGCACACTAAACTCTATGTAAATATCAAGATTCCAGAGAAAGAATGTGAATTACAAAAAGTACTTTGAAAAGTGTAATTAAATTACTGTGTGGAATAAATTTTAGAAAGCAGTATTTAGCACCTTCGTTAACCATTTATTTGTAGATGAGTCGTTAGATGAAACGTTTGAAATTAAGTTTATAAAATAAAATTCTCAGGCACTTTTCAGTGATTGAAGATACACAGATTATTGAGTTCAGTTTTTTTAAAAGGTATTAAAAAATGTTAGAAGAAGTAGTATCTTGGGTCAGGTGCTTTTTAAAGACATTGCAGGAGACTCAAGGTTTCCCAAGATTTACCCATTTTCTCCTGTAACATTTGTAAAGTTGGCTAGCATTATCTTCATAGATTATATCCAGTTTTTACTAAAATTTTGACTTGTTAATGTTTCTTTTCAGTTTTGAATGCTCTAGAAGTCTTATTTTATCCCTTTTCAGATAAATCAAAGAAAAGGTATTGTCTTGATGTAGCAAAGACTGAATTTCAATTGAAAAGTTCTGAGCAATAGGCTGTCAGTCTTGGCTTCCCTAGTTTTCTGTTGTAGGTGGGAGGCAGCTAAGGTTTATTGTAGGTGACTGCCGAGGTAGGTAGATTACTCAGTGGTTTCTTCCCTGTTACAGGGACACTATGGCAGAGAGTAGCAGAGAAATCAGCCAGGTGGAGTCGCTGTTGCTGGGAAGCAGATACAGTAATTTTGGGTCATGGAAATAACAAAGTCAAAAGAGATCTTGGGGAATATTTATCTCAGCGCAAGGTCCCGAGTTTGATCCCTGGTACCAAAAACAAACAAAAAAACAGAGATCTTGAGTTCACCTAGTTAGGACTTCTACCTGACTTTTTTTACTCTTAAGAATATTATATACTTGGACTTATTTTTGTTGAAAAATTCTTGCCCTGGATAATATCTTTGCTAAATAACATTCATAATACAGTTGAGTAATGCATTGCACTAGGAGGTTAAGGCAGTTTTGATGTAACCAGGTAACCAGAATTTTTCAGCTCCGCTATAATCTTAACAGGACCACTGTTACAAATGTGATCTCTCATAACAGAGACACCATTATGCAGTGCTGGGCTGTGTTTTTTATTTCTTCCTGTGGTTATTTTTTTGTGTCTCTTTATCATGTGCTTTGCCTGTTTTATTCACTACTATATCCCCAGTTCAGTGCCTGTCATGTAAAAGTGCTCAGTAAATATTTGTAGAATGACTAAGTTATCACTAGGAGGATTAAATCAAAGCACAGATGTAATAATAAAGATTGGGTTTTTTAAAAAAAACCTGCTTAAAACTAAGAAAAAGTTTATAAAAACTTTTGACTAGTACCTACTGTACTTGTTTTTGACTTATTCTGGTGTTTTTGTTGTTGTTGTTGTTGTTTTTTTTTTTTTTTTTTTAGTTCTGGGAATTGATTTTGGGTCTTCGTGCTTGTGAGGCAGGCAGTGGCACCCCTGAGCTAAGTCCCAGGCCCATGTACTTGTTTTTGGATCAGAAATGATGAGGAAATTATTGGGCAGTGGAGGAGGGAGGAAGAAGAAAGATTTGTGTATAGTAGGGTTGACTTCCCTCCCTCTTTTGATATGAGGATAATTTATGTATGTATGAATGTTAGGATCAACAGTTAATGGCAAATAGGCAAGGCTTCATCTATCGTGTGTGTTTTGTATTCAGCATATTCAGTTCCTAACTCTGTTCACTCCATGGGTTCTAGCTATTTCCCATTAATTCAAGTACCATGACTGTTTTGTGCATCCATTAAATCTCCCACCCAATTCACATTTCACATACCCTTAAACAAGTGATGCATATTCTGCTTTGGCCTTGCAGAGCATGTGAAACTCAAGTGAGCAGTGTGATTCAGTCTAGCTGCTTCTTTTTGATGTTGAACTTTAAACGCAGTAAACATTAAAATAAACCAAGTCAGATCACACTTTAATTGTAAGAAAGATATATGTTTGGGCACTGATTATAAGTCACTTTTATTGTAAAAATGAAAAAAGACCTGATATATTTCAACAGTAAATATAATGACAAGCGAGTGTCCTTATTTGCTAAATTCCATTCACAATTTTTTATGTAAACCTGAAATTTTCACATATCAAGTTACATGATCATTGTAACTGGTGCCTTTTTCCGGGCTGAGGCATATTTTAACATATGGCGGATACAAATTAGATCATTGTACCAGTATCATCACTTCCTATACAAAATCCAGGAAAATCAACATTGATTCTGAAATCTGCTGTCTTTTTTAGCTCCATATACTATAATCCTGGGTGCAGGGTGCAAATATAAAGAGCTAAAGTTGTTGTGGGAAGCAGAACTGCATTTTCTGTCTGTTGTGGAAAGGAATCTCACCAGGTACTCTTCTCTAAAAAGAAGTCTTATTTTGCTTCAACTGCTGGACCTTCTCTACCAACTGTATGTTTTATTCAATTACTGTAGAAAAAGTTTTGCTTTTATATTTTATACTAACAAGTAACAATAAGTTTTATCACTGTTCAGGGGATAGTCGAGTTGGTAGCAAGACTCTAGCTGAGGGTTGGTCTTTTTATTAAACAGTTCTTTTAATTTGACAGTCATTGTGAATGGAAACTTGGCAGCCAGGGTCTTGAATCTTGGAGGAAGGTAGCTTTCTCTCTTCTTAAAACAACTAGCATAAGAAAACAGTGATTAAAAAGAAGAAGAAGAAAAAAAAGAAAACAGTGATTACATAGCCTTCAACTTAATCAAAGTTTATAGAACTCTCCACATTTCACATGGAGACCAAATTAGTTTTCAGGATCCTCATAAATTGTAGGAATCTATAGTGGATTAAGTGCTATGCTACATGTGTGACTTTCATTTTTGTTTGTATAAATAAGAATAATTTATATATAAGATACTGCATTCTATTCTGTTTGGTTTCTAATAAGTAAGAATTGAACAAACAGCATTCCTCCCACCCCCAGGAAAATCTTTGCAAGGTAGGCTCTTACTTTGTCAGCAGTAGCTCACTCTGGTGACTTCACTGTGGTATTTGTGTACCCTGAGGGGGACACTATTTTAGTTTGTCTCACAAAGGCCTGATTTTCATTTTGCAGGTTTCAACTTGAGAAGTTAAGGAGCTGTTCTTTAATGGCCAGTAGTTGTTGAACACTTTTATAAAAGTTGCTGTTGGCTGTTTTCCTCTTCTGTAGTTCATTGCTTTTTCTGCAAATTCCTTCTCCACTTTTCTAAAGCACTTGGAAAACAAAAACAAACAAACAAAAAAATGCCCTTACAAACTGGGGGAAAAGTTGGAACTATAAGGCATCCCTCTCACCCCATCAATTTGTCACTGGTCACATTTGTAGGAAGAATAAAATTTGACTATTTCGGTTCTAAATCCTTCTAGGAAGTGGGGGTATGCATTTTCCTGTACCCTCCTTCTCCTATGCATACATTATCATGTTACCATGAAATATCCCAAAAGCATTAAAAAATATCCAAGAAATACTACAGTCTCTTGTGCTTGATAGAAAGGTATAGAGGATAGAGTGTCCTGTCTTCATGGAATTCTAACAGTTGTAATATCATTACAGTAATAAACCAAGGGGGTCTTTATAAACTACAGTTTATAAAGCTTCCAGTTGATCACTTGTTAGATTTTTGTATAACTTAGTGAAGGTAGCATATAGGATCTTGTGGTAGTTTGCCAGAAGTCCTGGAGGAGTTAGGCTTTGGACTCCTCAGTCAAGGACATTAGCCCTGAAGCTTATAGCATCTTTGTAAATCTCTCAGAATGTTGAGTTATTTTAGCAGAACTTTTTTTTTTTTTTTGGTA